TCGTAAGGTACGACTATGTAGCTTGAGCATCGTTAATATCAACGGGATTGTATGATGTCGGTCCATACAAGGAAAGTCACCTTAACCGACAAAGGAATGATCAAAGAAAATGTGTTCAAACGGACCAATACCATTGCTATATGGGTGGAAAATGAGACCAATGAACGTGTTAAATTACTAGATATCCTATACCATATACAGAATATAAGTAGTTTTACAATACCTACTATAAAATGCCTTCAGAACACCTAACCTAACTGCTTCTATATAACATTCGACAATGAAGCAAACATGAAAAAATTTAACGAACAATTCAAAGACAATCTGTACGTAAAGGGCCAAAGTATGATGATACAGGACTGCACAGATAAATTTGGACTGAGCCTGTGGATGACTTTGAGATTGCTCTTCGTGAAGACACATCACACTGTAATGCTAACGCACTCTCTCGTAGGAAATGCCTAAGGGAATTGCAAGGATTGAATTTTAGGTTCAATGTTTTAGGTTGTTATCGATAAAGAGTTGACGGTTCAAAAGACCGCTGGAATGCAAACTGGTCAGTCGGACGTGAGAGCCACACTTCATGTGCCTTTGATGAGGCAATATTACACCCGACTGGCCAATAACATGGATGGCTCTGGCCAAGTTTATGGGTTGCAACCTTCTGCCACTTTCGAAATGTCGAGTTAACTTTTGTTAGCGGGAAAGTGCCTAATAGTCCTCTTTCTTTTCTCTATTCCATGTACCAGCTTCACCTATATATTAAAAAAATGTGGATGCCAGGAATGTCAGAAGTTGGGTCATCTAGAAGTTCTAGGTTTACTGAGAAAAATATGGTTAGGGAAACAGTACGAGTCGAAGATTCGGTGTCAATTGTCGCAGTGATAGTCACTCCAGCAACTCCGAAAAAGTGTCCTTTCTTTTTGTGTCGGTCAACACGGTCCCCACTGCCCCGTATGTTGTGTATGATGATGTGATAAAATAAACCTGAATATATATTGAAATACTATAAAATCCAAACTGATGGTTCAGACATGGATTTATACAGCCAATAAAATGGGAATCAAAAGTTTTGGAAAATTTACATTACTTTGTGTTACATTTTTTCCATTAGTTGTTTTTGATTTAAATTTCAGTTCTCAAGTACTGTTCTATATCAGTCAAAGACTAATTCAACATCAAATAGTCAACTATACTGATATACTGAAATGGTTGCGTGATATTTTAGTATGTCGTAATAGATTCTTACAGAAACATAGTACTATAGCTAATGTTGGTAGTAACAAACAAATCTGTATTCAGGCCCATATTAAACTTGAGGTAAGTTTATGATAATCAATCAAATCCATACTGTGAAAGATTAGTACATCCTTTACAGAAAATGATAAGTAACATTTAGGGTCCAAAAATAATTTTAAAAAGATATGCTCAGCATCTCTGTTAAGCATTCAAAGTTGCTTTGATGTGGTTTCTGAGAAATTTTGACTGAGAAAATCTTGAGCCTAAGCAATAGCTCCAGAGCTGATATATGCCAGATAGCAAAGATAATACTTTCTATTACAGGTTGTATTCTTTATGTATTTATGGAGTTTTGAGATAGATGCTGTATTAACAGCTATGTCTTGTTTTCGGTTGCTATGTGAGGAAGCTGATATAAGATGTGGAGCTGATGAGATGGCTGTCACCCAGTTATTACCTAATTATAATGTTTATTCTGAATTAGCTGCCACTAGTACAGTCCTACCTACAGGTAAGATTGTGATATCAAATATAGTTGATAATTCTTGAAAAAACTTTGACGTTATTTCTTTTGTTGATCTTTTGCTGGTCTTTTTGGTTTTGATGGTAAAATTTCCACCAAACACCTTCATTTGAGTGGTGTTTCTGAAGCAAAGATTTGTGTTTATTTTGAATTACATATAAAGCAGTCTGACAAATGTCTCTTCTAAATGGCTTTGTATTATTATTTTCAGGTCGTGCTGCTCTACAGAAAAGAATTATGGCGCTATTAAGAAAAATAGAAGTTTCTACTTCTGGTAATTCACAGGTAAGTAACAAATCTTTATTTATGAATTTGTATCAGTAACTTTATGGTTAATTT